TACGGGCTGAACTTTTTAAAAATCTATTAGTCTGTATCTGTCCTTTAAAAAAGAGAAGGGAGAGGAAAAAAAATGCTTTTTATACCAGCACCTAAGTAAGAATCAGAAAACTTGGGTCATAGTCCTCACTCCATAATTGACTTGCTGTGCGTAGCCTTCAGCACATTGGTTAACCTCCCTGAATCTTAATTCACTCATCTGAAAATGTGAACAATAATATCTGCCCTCCCTGTTTCACTCTGAAGTAGCAAGCATCTAATATACTTAAAATAAGTGCTAAATGAAGAAATTAATAAGCGAGTGACTAAATAAATACATTCCTCTGGAGATATTCAGTATATCTATCGAATCAGATGTGGAACTCAGGAGAAACTGAGTACTTAGACTTGAAAGTCCTCAGCATTCATAGGAAAAGATGAAGCCACCTAAAAAGAGATGGAGAGAATAAAGTTGAAGACACAACCCTAAGAAACTTTTACATTTAAGAACTAGACAAGAGGATAAGAGAAGGAAAAATAGGAGAGAGGGGGAACGGAGTAAAGAATTTATCAGCACATTCAGGGTTGGAGAAGAGTGCATTGTGACTGGGAGGGGGAGCTGTGGGTTGTAGTGGGATATTTAAAGAAAAGAGAGAAGGTCGCTGAACAAGTTGAAAATAAATTTTGCGAAGCACACATGAGAAACAGTAATCATTTCAGTAGAATTTTTCCCTCTGTTAGAATTCAACACAAAATCAAAATCATTCTGATCGGAACTAATTAGAAAAAACAACTTTTTCTCAAATTGTATTTTGTCTTGATTGTGTAGTTAGCAAGCACAACTGGGATGCCAGAAAAAGGGGAATGCTGCTCCCTCATGTCTAATGCCAACAACCAATTGTTCCCAGTCTCTCCTCTCCCTCACTCTACAAAAGAGAGACCAATCTCAACATATGCCCTTTCTACCAAACTCTTGCCATTTTCTTCTCTGAATACCTACATATTCTGTACGTCTATACCCAAATGTCACCATGCTAGGCATTCGACAGGATGGCAGGCATCCACATTTTAAGAAATGTGATTGATTCACGGTAGACAACATAGTCCAAGATGAACCTTCCTATAAACCACTGAACGAGTCAGTCATACAACTTTCCCATTTGTAGTAAGTAATGTCACAAAAGCTGCATGCTTCATAACCTATACATTTCTGTTGACACTAGTCTGTGTGCATTAGATGCCTCGAAGCCTACAAAATTAACACAAGGCACTACGAGAGCTCAGGTAATTTACCTAAGGGTACTTGGCCAATACATGGCAAATGAGGACTTGAACCCAGGTTCTCTGCTTTAAGTCTCATGTTCTCTTCCATTACTTCATCCCATGAAGTTGAATTCTAGCTGGGAAAACCAATGGGCATGAAACAATCAAGAAGAGCCATGCTGTGTGGTGGGTTTGTAAGTTCAGTACAAGGGACAGATCCACTTAGGCCGGAGAATTTAAAAGAAAAGGTTTTTGGAACACTCTTGCCATATGAAGTCTACATGGAAGTCCAGCAGGTAAAACAGAGATAGATGTAGCTGCTCTGATTGGAGCTGGGGTAGGGTCTCATAGGCCCTTTCCTATGCTCTGCAATGAATTCTCCTTGCAACTTTTCAGAAGTCTTGAGGCTCTGCTTAGCAGTTTGGAAACCATTGGGCTAAATCAGTTATCTAAATATAGCCCCTGGACCAGCAGTGCCTTCTTAGACATGTGAATTCTTTGATCCCACCCACGACTTTTTGAATCAGAAATTCAGGAGCTGGGGCTTAGCAAACTGTGTTTTAGCATGTTCTCTGGGTAATTTGATACCCCAAAAATTTGAGAACCAGCGGACTACTTCATCTCCATAAAGTAAATCGGAGGAAGCCATCTTCTTCTGTGCTTTGAAAGAACATTTGAGATTGAGATAGGAGACTTTAAAGGGAATTGGAAACTGCCACTGAGAGGCTTTCTCTAAAACATCAGCAGAGAATGGATGAATTTGGGTAAAGCAGCAGGGAAGTCCTGACCAAGGCTAGCAAGTTTCGGCGTGCACTCCCAGTAGTCACATCCGTCCTCTGAACTCCTCCTGACTGCCTCAGAATAGGAGAGAAGAGAGTGGGTATTAGAGGTAACCTAGCATTCTGTGCAGAAAGTTTAGGAAAAGAGGAGTATAGGAGGCCACATTGAAGTGATTGGCCATGAGGGAACTAGACTTAATGAAGGTAACAGGCCCAGTGGATGTGGGAACATGGGAGAGGTGGGGATTAGGCAGCTTCGCTAAAGGTAAGGGGACGGAGAAGTTCCATGTTTGAGATCTCAGTGCTCAAACGATCCTGTTATATCCAAGCCCAAGATGTGGCCCTACATCATGCTTCACTGTTGAATTTATATTTCTAAATGGACAATCTTGCACAGAAACAATTTCTATTTGACATAATAAACCAAAAAAAGTCATATTTTCCTGCTTTCAAAAATATTTCAATTTCTGTCTTTTTTATATGTTGATGTAATATTGTCTTTATCCTATCTTGAAAAGGACCATACTTTCTTTTTGATGTGTATTTTTCCTTTTTTGTATATTTTTGTGGTAAAATATACATAACAAAATCAACCATTTTAATAATTTTTAAATGTATAGTTTAGTTATACTTTTCTTTTAGGTGCTAAAAATTTCACTTTTATGAAATAATAATAAAAAACTGGGCCTGGTTGAGGAAGGAAGCTGTTTTTACTTGAAAAATTAAAAAGTTGGCACTTTATTTTGGGTTCCTAAATTTGTTTTGATGCTACTGGACTGAGAAATCCAAGTATCTATGAACCACTGTCTTAAAGGAGAGCTAGGACTTAGAGAGGTCAGGGGGGGGAAAGAGGCGAGAACAAAGCCATAGAGAGAGGAATGTGCAGAGCATTTTTCGAAGAGTGTACAGGAAGCATGCAACCCTGAGGGGTTAGCAGCCATCTTTGGATCATGACTAGAGAGCCTATGTGAGAACAGAGGAGGTGGAGCAGAGAAACGGTGAAAGGAAAACTGGGTCCAGGTCCCAGCACTTATACCACAGATGAAGTCTCCCCTGAAGCCTATTCTAGCCCTGGACTCTGCAGTTACTGCTTACATTCCTGTTTCTGTTTAAGCCAGTTTGAGTCTGGTTTCCTTTCACTTGCAGCTGAAGAACCACTGATGCACAAGACTAAAATGATCCTCGGAACCAGGGAGAAGAAAGTGGGCATTTGTGGTCATCTAGCACTCTGGAATGCAGGTGCTAAAGGACAAAAGGAGGGGAGTCCGGGGGGGCTTGCAACATGACTAGCCATGAAGGGCTGGCATTGGGATGGAAAAGGAGGGCTAGCTCTGAGCTTCTATATGAAAGAAGGGGTGTCCTCCAGAATGGTTTCTGTCCTGAGCCCCACTTGTATTAACACTACTGCCTTCTCTTCAGGGATAAGGAAGGCCACCAACTACTCCCCAGGGAAATGATGCAAACGGTCACTTAGTTGGTAGCCGGAACCGTGAAAGAGTTGGGGAAAGGTAGAGAAAGAGTTGCCTGAGCAGATTCCAAGGGTGAAAAAGGAGGCGGGGGGAGTTAAAAATGGAGGAGGGGTACATTGTGAAAAAAAGAAAGAAAGAGTGAAAATTGCAGAAGTAAAAAAGAGAATGTGGATAGAAACGTGGAGAATAGGAGGATAGCAGAACATGGTTGCTAAGAGTGGGCCCGGGACCAAACAGATACCAGTCCCAAAACCTATGCATCGTCTACTGTCTTAATTCACTTCTCTAAGCATTTCTTTACTCTCCATAGATGAGCATGAAAGTGCCACCTTTAGATGACTGTGAGGCTTCAAAAATATAATACAGGGAAGCCCATAGCAGAGTGTCTGGCAGGAGTAGGCATTCTCATTTGTATCTCATAAGAATAAGATGGATGAATGAGGAGACAAGAGAGGAAGAAAGCAAAACACTGTTTACTCAGATCCTGACCCTCCTCAGTAGCAAGCAGCGAGTATTTAGTCTGTACAGAAGCACTAAGGAAAATTAAAAGGATCACACTAGAAGAAATGGTTTTTGAGAAACGCCAATAACGTTTACTTAATCTCCTCTCCCTTGTCCTATTCCCTGACACTGCTACTTAGTGTTGAATTGGGCTGACAATAGTGGAGAATCTTCAATATACAAAGGGGTGGAGATCACTTAACTGAACAAAATATTAAAACAAATCAAGATACCGTCAGGGCTTGATTTCAGTTGGCAAAGTGTGGCACTTCGCCAAATCTGGGCTACCTAGGCCAGGCGGGGTAATTCGAACTAGAGGGATCTCTCCTTACCCACCGTCCAGGGGCTGGATGAGCTGGAGGTGGCAATCACAGGCGTTTTTGTTCTACCTTTAAATCCTCGTCTCAGGAGACCGGCTGGTAATTGAGCTGGGACTGGGCGGGGGCGAGGGAAGGAGGTTGCAAATCCGAGAAACAAAGAGAGACCAGGCTGAAAGCCTCCAGGACCAGGAAGGAGAGATGGGATTCTGATTTGGCAATGCACCTGGGACCCGCTACTAAGAAACAACAGGACTGTCTCCCATTTATAAAGCACGTTGTTGATAGTAATGTGATCTCTCTATAAGGCACTCTATTAATGGTAGCAATAAATAATAGTCCTACGTCGGCAGTATCTCCTCCAATCTTTTCAACATCCGCTAAGCGCATCTTATCACCACTTTTATAAGGAAACTGTGGCTCCGAGGCGTAAAGTACTTTGGTCACAACTCAAGAGAGTCCAGACTTGACCCCAGACCTTCAGATTCCAGTGGAACAGTGGCCGAGACTCGGCCAGTCGCAAAGTCACTGAAGGACGACCTCAGGGGAGGTCCAGCAGCGCTGGTGGCTGCACTCCACGAAGGGGCGGGCTCAATCGGCAGGTAGCGCCCAGAACCTCCGGCAGGCCACACGCCGCTCCACCCGCCAGGAAGCCCGCGAAAGCCCTGGCAGCCGGGCATTCCGCGGTCACGCTAGCCTGGCTGCGCCCCCCGCGCAGCCCGCCCGCCGTCAGTCAGCAGCCGGTCCCGCCGCCACGCTGCACGACCGCAGTGCGCCCTCTGCCCTCGCCGGGACGGGGGGCCCCGCTACCATCATGCTGCTCGCCATCTACACGGCCCTGGCGGGTCTGCTGCTCCTGCCGCTTGTGGTGAATCTCTGCTGCCCCTACTTCTTCCAGGACACGGGCTACTTCTTGCGGTTGGTAGGCTTGAGCCGGCGGCTGAAGAGCTACGAGCAGCGGCGGCCGGTGCGCACCGTCTTGCAGGTCTTTCTGGAGAAAGCGCGCCAGACCCCGCACAAGCCTTTTCTGCTTTTCCGCGATGAGACATACACCTACGCTCAGGTGGACCAACGCAGCAATCAAGTGGCGCGAACGCTGCGCAACCACCTCGGCCTGCGCCAAGGAGAATGCGTGGCGATCTTCATGGGCAATGAACCGGCCTACGTGTGGCTGTGGCTGGGGCTGGCCAAGCTGGGCTGCGCCACGTCGTGCCTCAACTACAACATCCGCGCTGAGTCCCTGTTGCACTGCTTCCAGTGCTGCGGGGCGAAGGTGCTACTGGCCTCACCAGGTGAGCCTGGGGACCGCTAAGCCCTGGCATTAATTAGGCTCCTCCACGCCTAGACGAACCAGTCACAGCGTAGCATAGGGGGTTGGAGGTATAGATTCGGATCGGGTCTGGAGGTGTAGAAGGAGGGGATGGCAACCCTTCCTCAAAATGCTCATGAATGATCATTAGAACCACTTGTTGTGGAAGCTGACTGTGCTGGGCACTATTAAGCACTAAACATACAGTGTTGCTTTAAATCTTCACAACAGGTAGGATTTACTATTGGACTTGATAGATGAGACCACCGAGGCCAGAGAAATGAAGCCTTATATCCCAGTTCACAGAACTGGGAACGCGGGAAGAGAGGAGGGAGAGTTGCCAGGGCTATTTACAGCCAGAGTCCAACCTCTTAGCCAAGACTGACAATGTGTTAAAATGCAGAAAGTCTTGACTGTAGATCCACCAAAACTGTTCTCACCTCTCCTGCTGGATTGGCTGTGTGATCATGGGAAAGTCATTTCCCTTATCTGACCCTTGGTTTCCTCTTCTGTAAAGAGGTGGTCTTCAAGGCTGCTTCCAGCCCTCAAGTGCTGTTAGCCTCCCTGGATTCTCAACACAGAGAGAAGGTAACCCTACTTAGTCCCCAAGGAGAAGATGGTGGGGATCTGCTGCAGTGCCCTGGTGAGCCCCTACTACATCTATAGCAATAGTGACCTTTGTCTCTGTTGTTACCTCCTGCTACATTTCAACAAGACACGAAATGGTAACTTCAAGCTACTATGGTGACCATCAGGCATCAGTCCAGGAGGAAACCAAGAACCTGGTACTCACAGGGCTGCTGGGTTTTCCTTCCCAGAAAGCTTGTCTCTGCACTTAAATAAGAGCAGTTGCTTCTCTGTCAATAAGAGAAGGCCTAGCCAGGTGCAGGCTGAAAGACATGGAGGAAGAGGGAGTCAGGAAGCGTTACCTTCTGGAATGTCTTTCTGTACCATGCCCTATGCTGGATGCTTTTATTACCCTGAGAGATAGCATATCATTACTCCATGACCCCTGTTATACAGTTGATGAAACCAAGGCTTAAAATTCCAACCTATATCCTCTACATGGCTGTAAAGTATTAAATCTGGAAGGAATCAAGCATCCATCTGCTCTCCCACTTTATTTCATAGCTGAGGAAGCTGAGGCAAGCGAAGCAATTTGCCTAGTATAACAGAAAGATGAGATGTCTGATCACTTGTGAGAAGCCAGGAAACTTACACACCTGTTTCATGTGGCATAAAATAAATAATTCAAAATATGAAGGCTTTGCATAAAAGTTTGAAAACAGGGACAGTTTTAAAGGCCACCAAGTTGTTTGAAGGGGATAATCCTTTCAACAAAACTCCCCAAAATTTCTAACTAGAAATTGCCTGCAAACAGAGACAACATCACTACTTAGTAACCGGAAGACTCTCTTAAATCTATGACTTTACCAGTCTATTCAGAGGGAAGTTATTTGCACAATGACCTCTGTACCACTTCAGGAGGGGCTGAAATACTGTTAAACAGCATGGTTAAACAGGCACTGCTAAACAACAGGAATGTGTCTTGAGAAATACATCTATAAGCGATTTTGTCATTGGTGTGAACATCACAGAGTGTACTTAGACAAACATAGATGGCATAGCCTACCACAAACACCTAGGCTGTATGATATACCACTGTCGTATATGCAGTTTACCGTTGACCAAACTGTCATTACACAGCACACATGACTGTATCCCAGATCCCCTGTGAGGAAGTTCAAGGACTTGGAGTTTTGTTGGCATAGAAGTTTGGGTTTAAATGACTATAATAGAGTTGGTTCTGTAATCACATCAGAAATACAACCTGATATCTTCTCCACCCAGGCAACAGTTCTCTGCCATTAACATTATGTTTAGGTTAGTGTACTTGGAGAATGTAATTAAATTCCAATATTCAGATCAAATTTGAACCAGACTTTTCAGTGGACCTGTGGCACTCTCTGGCATGACCTTTGAGAAAGGCCACACATTTTCAAACTATTCACTTTTTCCAAATCACTGAGAGACCATTGCGCACCATGCAGAATTACACTCTGAATAGAAACAGTTACTGCAAATGGGGTAACACAGGATCCAAAGCTGCATGCTTAGTAAATGTGCCCAGATGTAAATGCGTCGAATTGACTGATTCTTAGAATTCTTTAAATTTGGAAGGAATCTTAGAGATATTCTATAATCCTCCAACTTTGAGGAGTGTGTTATACTTCAATGAAAACTTTAGAAAATAAACTTTAATGAGTATACAAATCACGTAGGAAGCTTATTTTGAAAAAACTGATTCTTTAACTCCATTCTCAAAAAACATTGTTTCAGTGAGACTATATATTTGTATAACAAGGATGTATATTTGTATAACAAGACCCACCCCACCCCCTAATGATTTTGAAGCAAATGGTCTGAGGACTAGACTTTGAGAAACAATCAGTCTAGTTTCCACTTGTTTTATAGCTGAATAAGCAAAGATCCAGAACGGTTAATATCACTTGCCTAAGGTCACATGGTCAGTTATCAACAGAGAGCTGAGGACAGAACCCAGATTTTTTTCTTACTTCCAGGGTACTTTTTGTTCTATTAGACCATCTGAACATGGTACATAAAGGTGAGGAGTTTTAGAACTATTGGAGTGGTGACAATTTAATAGGGTTTGATTGTGGGCTTTGAATGTCAGACTCAGGGCTGGGGAGCTAATAAGAACACTTGAGTTCCAACTGTGTCAAATTCTGGAGTGTGTGTAAAGGACCAGGACAGCGGTATTAATCATGAGGACTAGGCCATTTGTCATAAATTTAGGGGACCTGTAAAATTTAACAGGGCTCAATTTGCTATCAGGAATTTCAGTTCCCAATTATTTCTTCAGAATTTGCTATACTTACCAAAAGTCAAAGATTCACAAACACCTCCCTGAACCTAGCAGAAACACCTGTCTCTCGGAGAATATGATCTTCTCTCTGGTACATTTCAGGATCCTTCTCTGTGACCAGGTACGGTATAAATAATCACATGGGAAAATTGCCTTCACTGATTTGAACCCATATTAGTTTTGTTGATAGAAACCAACTTGTTGGTCTGATAGTTTTCAAGCAACTTCCCAAACATAGACTATGAAGAAGACAGGAAAGCATGTTTAGTTTCATACAACATAGGATATTTTGTAAACACATCCATAGAAGCCCCCAAAATAGTAAATTTGCTTTGTTTCCATTTATGCTAACATTAAGATCATCACTAACCTAGCTCTTCTACTGTCAAGATCACTGTCAAGGTGTATACTACCTGACTCATCTTAGCCATGCAAGGCTTCCGTGGTGAGACACTACTCTTGTACAAGGCTTTAGTAACAGTTAAAGATGCTTTCTATTGCAAGACTGAGATCCAGAGAGGTTATAAAATGTTCCAGATTACCTTTGACCTGGTTTTGCAAGGTTAGAAGAAACAAAATTGGGCCTCCTTAAAGCAATGTGATAAAGCAATGCTTCCAAATAATTTTCAAAAGTATTGCAAATAATTTCAAAAGTATTGCAAATAATTTCAAAAGTATTCCAAATAATTTTCAAAAGTTCTGAAACAAGAGAATTTCATTATAAAACTAGTGTTGGGATCAAGGAGAAGTCTTGTCACAAAGACTTTTGAGGTTAGATTGAGGAAAGCAGATGGAACAACAATTTAATTTCAAATCAAATCATTTAGAGAGTCCCCACAAGGTACAAGCTGGTTGCCATGGTGGGATGGGGAGTTAAGAAGATGAATTAGTTCAAGGATCTTACAGTCCAGTGAAAGAACTAAGCCACATACACAAATGACTGTGACACCCAGGAGAATGTGATAAGTATGCTGGGGAAACTACAAAGTGCTATGGCGAAGAAAGAGCAGAGGGAGAAGGCTTTTCGGGGGCACTTGGGCAAGTGCAGTTGGGGAGGAAGCATTCCAGGCAAGAGGAGCCCAAAGGCAGTTTTCGTCAGCGCCTCACAGTGAGATTCTTCATTAAAGAGTTTTACTGTGTAAGGTCAACAGCAGGCTGGACTTAAGTAATAGTAATTTTTAAAGCTGGTACTGAGGAGACTCCACTGTTAAGAAAAATAGGGACTCAGAGAATCCAAGGAACGGCCAACGGTAGCAGCCTCACTTCCATGGAAGGAGATAATTTCCCAGTTCAAATGTTAGTCGAGGATCAGGGAACAGAGATAATCTCATCTCCACTCCTCTGATCTCTCTGGGCTGCCCAAGGAATAACTTAGGTGAGTTGCTTCAATGTCCTTTGTCTCCAAGGTTTAAAATTCTCTCACATGTCTTTGAATAATGCCCTAGTAATATGTAGCAAATAGTAGTCAATAAATGTATGTTGTATTAATGAGTTCCACCATTCTGGTTGGTTGTAACAGGCTTTCTACTCTAGAACTTAGGGACTACTGGGCTGAGCATAAGGGCATAAAAAATAACAACAACAACAAAAAATATCAGCTTTATCCTGATTTGAGAAAATCCATTTAGACCCAGTGTCCCTGAGGCCCGGCCTCACCCTACCCCAGACTTGTTTACCTCTGACAGTGGGCTATAGGGGAGAGGTACCCTTGCTGGGTCTCATTGCCAGAGATAGAACTGATGATGAGTACCAGATGGCTGGGACCATAGCAGGGAGGGTCTGTGTGTAGGATGGTAGGGGACAGACATTAAATGAGTAGTGTATTAATGGGCTAAGTTCCCAGCCAGGTAGCCCAAGGTCTGAATGGAGAGGTAACTTAAAGATATTCTACTATATTTTTCTTCTTGGCCTGTTTATAACTAAAGTATGCAAGAGGGGTGGTTATACATCTCCATTCAGAAACAAACTAGAACTTCACTAGCATATTTGGGAACATTCAACAGTTCATTTTCTTTGGAAACAAGAAGGGAATGAAGAGGTTAAAAAATAAACTCTAATAAATCAGCTGTTAATATTATTGAATCTGGAGCAGGAAA